AATTGGTTCTATCTATCTTTGTTTTTTTTTTTCTTATCATAATTATGGTATTCATTTGAAATACAATTAGATTCATTTTCTTCAGTACACTTGCAGTTTTAGGTTTATTTTCCCCTTTCCACCTTAATTTTTAATATATTTTTTGAATGAGTAGAATATTAACATGTACACAAAAGGAAATATTACATTATAATGTATTCTTAGAGAGGTGGCACTCTTTCTTGTATCTTAACATGCATGTCTACCCATGTTGTAGGTAATTAATTTCATTGCTGTATAGTTTATCCCTCCTTTGATTTCTTTTACAAAAATAAGCAGCTATATTTTTAATTTTCCTTGTTCATAAAACATACAGAAAGGAGTGACACCTCTCTAAGAATATCATTTTATGCCCGGTGCAGTGGCTCACACCTGTAATCCAGCACTTTGAGAGGCTGAGGCAGGCAGATCACCTGAGGTCAGGAGTTCAAAACCAGCCTGGCCCACATGGCAAAACCGCGTTTCTACTAAAAATACAAAAATCAGCTGGGCATGGTGGTGCGCACCTGTAATCCCAGCTGCTCAGGAGGCTGAGGCAGAAGAATCGCTTGAACCCAGGAGGTGGAGGTTGCAGTGAGCTGAGATCGTGCCCCTGCGCTACAGCCTGGGTGACAGAGCAAGACTCCATCTAAAACAAAAACAAACAAAAGAATACCATTTCATGTAATTTTTACTTCTTACTTCTAGGTACATGTTAATATTCTGCTTGTCTTCCAGGAGTAGCAACTTGTCTGATGATGTTCAATCTCCAATTCCTTTGGTAGCTGCTTATTATTAAATGTTTAGGTTCTAGATTTATTTTTTATTGGGGGATGTCGTCTGTCAGAGTCTTATTCCATAATTTCTTAGATGGTTTGATTTAATGATTTTAGAAGCTAGGAGTTCGATGATAGTATAGATTTAACTCGCATTTCTTTTATTATGAGAGAAAGAGGTTGAGTATCTTTTCATTTGTTTAAGGGACATTTTTACAGCTTTTTTGATGAATTATCTGTTCAGGTCTTTTGCCTATTTTTCTATATAGTTTTGGTTTCTCTTCAACTATTAAAACTTCTAATTGGTTATTATTTGTGTATATGGATGCAATTTAGTTTTGCATATTAATTTTATATCTTGCTAGCTTATCAACTTACTGAGTTACTTTTATCACTCTCTAGGGTATTCCAGATTACTACTATATCATCTGCAAAAAGAGACAGTTGTATTTTTTCTTTTCCAAGTCATATGCCTCTAATTGTATCTTCTTTTTTGTGTTATTTTTATTAAGTTTATACACTGATGCTATACTTGCTTCATGAAAAGAATTTGGAAATTTTCTTTCATTTTTTACACTCTGAAGCAATTTATATAGCTTTAAGACTGTCAAAGGTTTGGTTAAATTTCTCTGTGAAGCCATCTTGCCGGGTCCTTTTATCTAGTAGTTTCTTGATAACTTACTTTATCCCTTCTATATAAAATGGCCTTTTAGGCTTTCTATCTTTACTCTGGTCAGTTTTGGCAAACTACATTTTAAAAAAATTTTTTTTAAAAATAGGTGAGTCAATCTTATTCATGTTAAGATAATCATTATGTTTTGTCGCGGTTCTATCAAATTGTCTTATGTTGAAATTCTTGTGTATATTTACTGCATTTCTTTGTGTGTCCTTTTTACTTAAAAAATTCTTTTTGGGCCGGGCGCGGTGGCTCAAGCCTGTAATCCCAGCACTTTGGGAGGCCGAGACGGGTGGATCACGAGGTCAGGAGATAGAGACCATCCTGGCTAACACGGTGAAACCCCGTCTCTACTAAAAAATACAAAAAAAAAAAACAACTAGCTGGGCGAGGTGGCGGACGCCTGTAGTCCCAGCTACTTGGGAGGCTGAGGCAGGAGAATGGCGTAAACCCGGGAGACGGAGCTTGCAGTGAGCTGAGATCCGGCCACTGCACTCCAGCCTGGGCGACAGAGCGAAACTCCGTCTCAAAAAAAAAAAAAAAAAAAAAAAAATTCTTTTTGGTGTTTATGAAGGTTTGTATTTTCATTCTATAGGTTATCTTTCCATTATTACTTTTAAAATGCTTACTGTCTCCTCTATTTTTACGTAATTTTTATGTGATATCACTTTTAAATATTTGTTGACTACTACCCTTTGCTTATATAAGAAAACGAGGTATTCTGTATTCCTCTTTTTTCTTTCTTATCCTCCCATCAAAAAATTTACATCTTTTGACTTTTGTTAACACATTTAATGTTGACGTGTTAGTTTTTTCATCCATGCACTGACTCATTTTAGTCTCACCTGTACAATAAAATATATGAAGCATTTGGAAACATTTTTCAATGTTATTTCAGGCATTTTTTAGTTGGATAAAACTCATCCTATCTGAAGGTCTTCAGGAATACCACATGTGTGTAGTATTCCCTTAGTGCTCGTATATCCCAAACTGTTTGCTATGGCCTTGATATTTTAAAAGTCAGGTTGGCTGTATACAACATTTTTGTATACTTTCTTTCTTTCCTTTAATGTTGAAAATGTTGTTCCACTATTGCCTTACTTTGCATGTTGTTTTGAGAAACCTGATGCTGGTCTAATTCTATTGCCTTCGTAAGTTACTTAATCTTTTTACTTGGAGGCATTGTACATTTATTTTCCTCTAAAGTCTAATAATTTTACTAGAATATATTGTAGAGTAATCTTTCCAGGTCAGATTTCCCCAGTACCTATATTAGATTCAGGTCTTATTTTAACTTTAGAAAGTTTTCTTGGATTATAGTTCTAAGTATTAGTGCTGTTCAGTTATTTTGATTGATTTCTTTAAGAAACTCTTTTACTTCTTGATTATACTTTCACTTTCCTAGTTGCTTTTCTTGTTTTTTCATTGCCTTTTCACTTGATTATATTCTTCCTAGGGCAACTTGTAATTTAGTTTTCATTTCTGATAGGATTTTGTCTCTTCCTTCTTTCCTAAGTTTTATCAACTCTCATTTCAGTTTTTCCTGATTTTTTTGGGGGGGGGTATCAATATCTATTATTATTATTATTACTATTGTTGTTGTTGTTGTCCCAGATTTATTGAAAATAATATAGCACTGTAGAAAAAATTCAAACAGGTCCCCGAGGTGTTTTGAAATTCATCCCAACTGTAGGCTGAGTGACCTGCAGGTTGGACAGACTGCCGAAGTCCAAAAGCTTCAGCATTTCCTTAGTGTCAGGATCTACTTCAATTATCTCCTGATCCAGGGCTGAGACCTCGGGAACGTAATTGTCTCTCCTTTCTCTCTCCTCCTCCTGCAGCTTGATGGAGATACCTCTTACAGGGCCTCTCTGAATCCGCTTCATCAGATGGGTGACATAGCCTGCTATCTTGTTGCGGAGCTTCTTGCTGGGGATAATGGCGATCTCCTCGCACACGCGCTTGTTCGTGTGGAAGTCGTTGCCCAGGCGCGTGTAGTACTTCTCTATGATGACCCGGGCCGCCTTCTTCACGGTTTTGGTGCGAAGGCGGCCCATGTTGGCGGGTCCTTGGTAAAGAGGCTATTATTATTTTTTAAGCTTCTGATTTGAGATGTGTTTTTCTTAGCCTGAAATGCTTATTTGAGGATATTCCCTTGAGTATGGAGTGTGACATTACAGTTTTCTTAAGCTTTTTGGTTAAATTGTTTTGGAAAGTTTTCATCAGGAGGAAAACTTTCATTGATATCAATCTGATTTTTCCAGTTATTTTATAATGATGGAGATAGAATTTTTGTTCTATTCTTTTTTATTTCACAGAAAAAGTTCTTAGTTCAAGAGCACTCTCTTCTGTGCAGTTTATTTAATGGATCTTGTTTTGATGGTCATAGGGTAGGGTGGGTGGATTAGTAAGTTGTGTTCCGCTTTCATTTCTATAAGATCCTTAATTTTCCCTTCTTATTTCCTTCTTTCCCATCATTGCCTAGTCTCCAAGGAATTCTATCCATTCTCTATTTATCTGGTTCTTCCTCAGAAACAATGATTCTTCAAGGCTGCCACTTCTGATTGCATTCATACCTTGAAGTCTCTTTTTTGTAGCTAGTGCTAAGAATCACCAAGTCCTGACCTATGTCCAGTATTCTGGCACTTATTGTTACATTTTCTCTTTCTGGGGTTGATTTTGTTTGTTCTTCATCTCATTCATGGTTTCTCTCTATTCTTTATTTCAGAATTTTTCAAGCCTTGCCTCCTCTGTTCTCTGTAATCCAGGTTTCAGTACAGGCAAGCTGCAGGAGTTTTGTTGGAATTATTCTTTTTCTTACTTTATTTATACATACTTTAAAGGCTGTGGTGTTTTATGTCACATAGTCATATTCAAAATATGGGTCCTGCATGGTTCTATTTGCTTTCTTTGTTGATTTTATGTTTTCTAGGGGGACTGTGTGAGGGAGATTCAAAATCAGGTGACCACTGTTGATCTCTAACAAAGTTCTCTTATTTATATTTTATTTGTCATTTGGGTTTTCATTTTATGATAATGTCATATATTTGTTTTATAGTAAGCTACCTCAAATTCTTTGAAGAATAATGCAAAGTGAAAATAAATATTTACTTTTTATTATTAACAAATAAATGTAAAAAATGCTCTGCCTTGATGGCTTTTTTGTTCTTTAGTAAAATGAAGTATGAGTAACAAAAGAAAACAGAGAAAGAAAAAAGGGGAAATGAAAGAAAAGAAAACATAATGGAAAAGTAAGGAGATTGGTTATTTTGGTCTATGGATATCTTTCTTTCAAAGCAATTTCAAAGAGATTTTAACATTGTTTTGAGCAATAGCAGCAAGACTTTAGCATAGGTAAAGCCTCCAAAAGTGATTGCTTTTAAGATCTATGCTATTTTGTATTATATAATACGTATCAGGAAGCTCTGCGATATTATAAAGAACCACTGCTTTATAATTATACCTCATATGTTCACACACACACACACACATGACACATGAGCACACATATACACAATACATATACTTACTTGCTTCACATTCTGGAGCTCTTCTGTCAATTGTTTCCTTTGCTTATCTGATTCCAATAATTTTTCCTATATTTAAAAAACCACCAAATTAACAACTTGTTATGAAACTATCAACAAATATGACTTATTAGTTCCTTGTTTCAAAGCTTATATTCCCCAAATATCAAACTGCTACAATCTGAAAATGTTGCTTCTAGTCATTTTTCCAGCTTTACATGGGGCACTTAAAAGTAATTAGTTATTTACAGTAAATTGTGATGTAAATACACTTTTTATTACCTTAATTTTGCATAATCTCAAAATGTAAGCTCAAACGGAAGCCAGTTAAGAGTACAAATGTGTAAATATTAACTGGATTTTGGTTAAGCTATCATTGCCAAAGAGATACCAAATTGAAGAGCATTATTATTACAAATTAGAATTAAAGGTCTTCGACCATACTAAAGAGGGCATATGAATGGAGACTGGCTCATCTCTTAATTTCCTAATTTAATTTTAGCTTATTCTTGGAAGATTATCCATGAAAAGACAGATATGACTAATGTAACCAAAATATAAAATAATAGTTATTAAGATTAACATTATGCATACAAATAAAATACCTTTGGATTTGAAATTAAGTGAAGTATATACCCTACAATGTCCAATTTTGTTAATTATATCTTAAATAAATCCACATTTTATTGGTCAAATCAGAAATACTAAGAGTAATTTAAGAGCCATTAAATACAAACCTGAACAGAGGAATTGCTTGAACATTAAATTGAGTGGTAAAGATTCATGATAATATTGCAATGTTTATAAGAGGCAATATCCTTTCTGGTATATTTCAGCTTATTCTTGTCTAAGAGGTGAAATGAAGGTATATGAAAATGAATGTAATATAGCAATCTAATGAATATGCCACAGGAGCCAAGAGACTGCTGGCTCCTGTGATTTTATGTTCTGGCAAGTCACCTTCACTCTTGGTGCCCTAGTTTTTTTTGTATCTGTAAATGGAAAATATATCTATTTTCCATTCACCTTTGCAAAGCAGTAGCAATGTGAATTCTGCAGAAAGGCTTCCTTAAATAAAGCCCACAACACTTTTAAAAATTATTCTTGCAAAATAAAAATTAGCTACTGACATAAAATTATCTTGGTTTCATTTTTATTTGTACTCATATTAGACATGAAGAATAGAGATGTCACAGGATAATGGAAAGTGATGAGACACCATCTAAATGCTTTATGAACTTCATTTAACAACCTCTGCTTTTATATGAATGTATAATACAAGTAAAAATACTGAAAACAAAAACATTACCTTTAACAAAATATTTATTGCTTTGTACACTACTTTACATAGCTTCTTTAACTGGCCAGCTAATAGATAGGTTTTGAGGTAAAAGTAATTATAACATGTAAAATTTGCTTTTTCTGGAATTTTTGCACCATATTCTAACCAACTGAGCTAGCTGGTTGCCAGCTTATCTGGGAGTTTAGGTTTTGTCATATTAGGGTATATTCAATTACATTTCATGAACTTTAAAGGTAAATCCTAATTTATTGAATGACTCCTCAGGAAAGTCTTATTTAAATGTTAAATTAATATGGCATAGACACTTTCAAATTAACATTCTAATAATTACTATTGATATTAAAATAAAAACAAATATATCATATCATTAAATTTAACAATGATAAACTATAAGGAAATGAAAAAGATCTGAGAGCCTCTGAAAATTCTGATAAACCACAAGTCTAATGGTTTAGGCAGAGATAAGAGAATACATAAAAAGTTATCTTATTAAGGTAACCAACATTGGGGAAGTTTTCTAGGAGAATATAAGGAAACCATTGTCAATGTATTTTTAAAACTAAATTTTTATTTTCCAGCAAAACAACTGTTAAACTAAAAAATGTGGAATGATAGTGGTTTCAAAGGTAAGAAAATAAATATATAAAATACTATTAGAGTAGTGAAATCCTCATATACTTTAGGAAGGAATGTGAATTGGCAAAACCTTTTCAAAGGGAATATGGTAACATATGCAAAATTTTAAATGTCTATAATTTTTAATAAAGCAATTATATTTTCAGACATTTATTCTGTGTATATACTGTACAAATGCCCATAGATACATCTACAAAGCTGCTGAAGATGAAATTATTTTTAAAAACTGGAAATAGTCTAATGTCTATCAATAGGGAACTGGCTAAATAACCATTTAATTTATAGGAGAGTTATCGAGAAGAATTTGGTATATCTGTGTATATTAACCTGAAAAGCTGGCTGAGATATAATTCTTATAAAGAGAGAGAGAGAGAGAAAAAAAAAGACGGCAAGTTATAAAAAAAAGTGTGGATGGATGAAGTGACTTACATAGAAGTGAAAATACACACATACTGGAAAAAATTTTCTTAAGGCTTTATTATTTTTTGAAGCAGTTTTGGATTCATAGCAAAATTGAGAGGAAAGTACAGAAATTTCTCACATACTCCCTGTCCCCACATATACATATATTTATTTATTTATTTTTGTTTTTCTGTTTTAAATAGTAGATACGGGGTCCTGCTATGTTACCCAGGCTGATATTAAACTCCTGAGCTCAAGTAATCCTCCTGCCTCAGCCTCCCAAAGTACTGCGATTACAGGTGTGAGCCATCATGCCCTGCCTATTTTAAAAAAATATAATGTTCTGTGTAGAGAAAAATCTATGAAAAGATAAATAATATATTTGCAACAATGGCTTCCTCTAGAGGTTGGAATTATAAAAACTAAGATAGCAAAAAAAATTTTCTTTCTTTTTGGTGTAAAGATTTTCTATTTAATAAAAATTAAATAATTGTCAATATACTATACCTTATTTAATAAAATAATTTAAAAAATATGTTCCTATGGTAAATTAGTGGTAAATCAAGTGGTTATGTTGCTTTTCCTGAAGATTTGGAAAATATAGCTTTCTGTAAAAATTAGGATATAATTTAAATGTAATATTCCTCTAAAAACAGAATGAAACCATATAAAGACAATCAAGGCTAGACATGGTGGCTCACACCTGTAATCCCAGTACTTTGAGAGGCCGAGGCAGGTGGGTGATTTGAGCCCAGGTGTTTGAGACCAGTCTGAACAAAACAGTAAGACACCATCTCTACAAAATAAAAATTAAAAAAAAAAAAAAATTAGCTGAGCATGGTGGCTTGGACATGTTGTCCCAGCTACTTGAAAGGTTGAGGTGGGAGAATCGCTTGAACCCAGGAGGTTGAGGCTACAGTGAGACGTGATTGTAGCATTGCACTCCAGCCTGGGTGACAGAGTGAGACCCTGTCTCAAAAACACAAAACAAAAACAAGAATCAAAAAACCAAACAAACAAACAAAAAAAATAGAAGTAAAATGTTACAGTATATTTGGGATATGTGTGTTTTTTCCTCTTATATAATATTGTCTTAATTCCAAGTTACGTTAGCAAAACATGATGTCCCTTAAGAATAGCCCTGCACATGAAAAAAAATGTATTTCCCAAAGAACTCACAGGATCCAAAACTGCCATGACTTGCTTTATTGGCTCTTCATCTAATTCTGCCCTGGCCACCAATGAGAGAGAATAAAAAGGGTAAGAAAGAACCTGAACAGAAGACATGAGCAAAAACCATTGTTCACACTAAATGTTGTACAGATAATGTGAAATATAAATATGTAGACCACAAAATTAATTCTCTAAAGGCTAACTGAATAAAGAATCTGATTTTTACTATTTGATATTAATATTTTTCCATTAAAAATAAAGTTAAGCCCCAATACTTCAGAATCCAATATAGGATATTTTTCTTTTTCTTTTTTTTCTGAAGAAAACATGAGGAAACTAAATTAGAGGTTACCTTAAGTGTATTTACTTCTTTAAAGGCATCATCTCTTTCACGCTTGAGCCTTTCCATTTCATCTGCTTCTAAAGAATCACAAGGAAGAAGCTGTCAACATTAAAATATAAGAGAAAAGTTGTGCATTAGATGCTAATTATGAGAGGTAACATAAAAATCCTTTTTGACTAGTCTTAGGCTTTTGTATTCTAATAACAAAATTCAGTTTCTTACGTTGGAGTCATTTGATTAGATAAAAGGGAATATTAAAGTATTAAAGCAATTTCACTCATTTAGGCTTAACTTTACATTATTGTTACTTATAATAGAATTTTGATTTTGTTGTCACCTTTATCATTATTTTAACAATATAATTTTCCTTAAAATTCCAAATTCGAAGACTGTGTTTATAATGTCAAAAAGACTTCAGGAATTACCAACATAAACTATTCCCTAAATATATTCATTCTAATAGCATGGTATCTAAGGCTAACAAAATGCTGTACATTATAAATCAGATGGTTTACATGAGCCTAGTAAAGTATATTTATCAATTATGTATCTGGTTTTAACTAAGTGAAATGTAATGCAACAGACAAGTGGCTTAAAAAGATTCCTACACAGAAATTGTAGATTGAAGATAATATTAATAATTTATGCACAAGTGAATAACAACAACAAAAAATAGCAGAGATGACCAATTCTCTTATATCTAGCATGATGTCTTTGACCATCAATTATAATGTAAAAAACAACGACAGTCTAATCAGAGATAAAAATCCAAGTTTACAGCCATCTCCTATGTGGAAGCTATAACAACTAAAGAAAATAGAATTTAAAGGATTAAGTGGAGAAAGTGGTTGTTATGTAAGCATGGGCTTAAAGCAGGGCCCTTTAGATAGGTGAAGCGAATGTGGAGTAGAAAAAAAATAATAAAAATAATTAATATCAATCACTTACTGGAAACTTGTATGTGCAGATGTATTACTAAGGACTGTATATATTCAATATCAATCACCTTGTCTCCATTTTACAGATGAAGAAACAAGCTCAGAAATGTTAATAACTTGCCTAAGGTTTCACAGCTAACAAATGGCCATTCCAAGAGTCCCACAAATATAGTCTCTGATTTTTACTAAAGATTCAACAAAAAACATGGTGGAATAGATGTAATAAACTCATATTTGCTTTCCAAACTCTAGAATAACAAAAGTAGGAGTTATTCTTCCTCTTTGGGGAGAATTTATTTCCCTGAACATCACTGGTTCTTTTTGGTCTGTCACATTAGCTTTTGGGTATCTATGGACATTGCCAATAATTTATATGATCTACATTCTTCATGGTTCTGTTACTCTGCTCTCTCAGAAGTACTCAATACACACACTCATAAGAATTCATTCCTAATTGTTAGAATAATTTTGAACACATTTTGAAATGTAATAATATTTCCCAGAGTGTGTTCCAAAGGATATTAACAGGCTTTGTGTAAAAGCAAAATTGAGTGGTAGTGATGGTGGTAGTTGTCAATGCTTTAGAAAAAAATTAATCTTACTTCCTACATGGCGTCCAACAGCCTTAATATGCCAATGAGCATTTGAATTGCCAAAAAAAAAGTATAATAACTTGTCATGTTTCCTCAGTAATTTCACCATACTACAAACCCCTAACCTCATCACCCTGTTGCCTTCATTTATTTATTTTTATACTAGCTCATGGAACTAAAGTATACAAAACACAATCTGGGAAACTCAGTGTTGCTACTCAGCATTCATATGGCCTATTCCATTTTTTCATTCTAAGAAGTGAAATAAGGAGGATTCAAAAGTTTAAATAAGGCTGGGTGCAGTGACCCAGGTCTGTAATCCCAGCACACTGGGAGGCTGAGGCTGGAGGATTGCTTGAGTCCAGGAGGTTGAGATCAGCCTGGGCAACATAATGAGACCTTGTCTCTACAAAAAGTAAACAAAATTAGCCAGACATGGCGGGGCACTCCTGTAGTTCCAGCTATTCAGGAAACTGAGGTGGGCGGGAGGTCAAGGCTGCAGTGAGCTGAGATTGCACCACTGCACTCCAGCCTGATGACAGGGTGAGACCATGTCTTTAAAAAAAAAAAAAAAAAAAAAAAGTCTAACATTTTAGATACCAGAGCTAAAATAATTTATTAAGAGAAATTATAGATTGGGATTTTAGGGATGTGATAATAAACTTTTGAACTTAACATCATGGAGGTAAATCATGCATAAAAGAATCCATGGTACTATTTCGAGAGGCAAAGCCTAGACTAAATAGTCATAGAACAAACTATGAATTAAAAAAATGTTTTATGATCCCACTGCTATTTTGGACTGTGCAGCAAAAACTTGCAGTCAGAGAATTGGCCATGAATGTTCCTTGTGAATTCTTTGAAAAGCCCCTTTGTGTTCAATGACTTCTTTTATACAGTTCCATTCAAATATACTTCAGCTAAGGAAGCAGCAAATGAATTGTTGTTATTTAACAGCAACAATTCCAGACAGATGCCTGTTTTCAAAATCTATCACTAACTACTGAAATTTATATTCCTTAACCTTCCACATCTGTTTTCTGTCTGGTTCTCACAATATCATTTGTGATCCTTGGATCCCCTGAACTTTGCAACAGCTGGTAAATAACATTGCAAATCATTTCTACTCTGCTTTCTAGAATCTCCTTCTGGAGATGTCAAGAAATACATACTATAGGTCATTGGACTGTGCTGATTAGGTCGACTTCACCTCTCCTTTTACTGTTGCTGCTCCATCATATTTTAAATTACTTGACTTGTATCAATTCTGGATAACTGCTATTCTGTTGGCCATATTCCCTAATCTCAATTCATTTTAAACAGAAACAGTTACAAAACAGTTAACTTCAGTGTCAGTCTAATTTTATTGATAAGGCCTTCCATTAGAGACCTATTCAATTACCTCCTTTCCTTATAAAAGTGTGTGTGACTTTACTATCCTATTCACCTAAAAATTTCTGGGTATCTTCTTTTCTCCTTCCATTTCTCTGCTCATTCCTTTCACTTCTTATAATCTGGCTCATACATCTTTCCTCTCATTCCCATATTTCTAAAATGATTACTTCCAATTTCACCAATAAAACTGCCATGTGACAAAGAAAATTACCCCAACCAACTTTCTTCTTTGTTATATATAACAGTATTGAAGGCTTTTTTCCTTGAAATTTTATCATCTTTAGATTGTGATATCCTAATATCTCACCCAGCCTTCTGCACATTTAGGCTATTCCCAATGAGTTACTTTCATGTCTACTCCTTAAATGGAGAAAGGGGGTTTGGGAGGTTCCCCAAAGTTTGTTCCTTTTCTCCTTTTTCCCTACAAGTTCTGAGTGAGCACATTCACTGTTATGCTTCGACTATCACTTTCCAAAATATCCCCAAATTCCTTCCCAGTGTCTACTTCCTAATTTCCAGTGGCCTTTGGTTATTTGTACTTGCCAGCTTCTTAAATCTCTCTAAAACACAACCTGTCACCGTCTGTACTTTGAAAAAGGCTTTCTCCTTATTTCCCTACTTCTATTAATGCTACCTGTACCATCATATTCTTAGTTATCCTAGCCAAAACTTTGGAGTTTTTTTTTTTTTTTTTTTTTTTCCATTCGTTCCTCTTCCTTAGTTCTCATGTCCAAAGGGTCAGCAAGTCCTACTGATGATATATTTGTTGCAGTTGTTGTTTTTGGTAAGTAATCTAGATCTATCATGTCTTTCCTTTCTTTTCTCCCCACCTTCACTATACTTTAGTTTTTTATTATCTTTATTTGGATTATTTCTATAGTCCTCTGTCTAGACTACCTACCACCACTTTCATTCCCTTCCTAGATAACCACACATAAGATTCCTCTTTCTAAAATATCACTTTTGTCATTCAACTGTTTTCCTTAATGGCTCCTCACGGACTACTGAGTGAAGTACAGACTTCTAAATTTAACATTTACCCTTTGAGGCATAACTTCTGTCACCTGAATGAACCCAATTATCTTTTTTTTTTTAAGTAGACTACTCTCTGTGTGCATTACATTCTAATTTTTCTGTTTATGCTAATACTTTGATCACTCCCTACTCACCTCTTGAGTACATAAAATCCTACTTATCCCTCAAAATTTACTCAAATGCCAACTGTTATGAATCTTTTCTGAATGTTCTAAGCTTTATTACTCTTACGGCCTTGCCACACAATGCAGCTTTTCTTACTATAATTATTTGGGCACATGACTTTTCCTTAAAATATGTAGGCCAAGTTTTATCTATCTTAATAACATGTGAACATAAAACATGCACACTGCAGTTGTTCAATATATATTTTGTGTTTTTGTTAGGGAAGTGGCTACAAAGTATTTACTGCTATACATGGTGAGAAATATGTACATATTATGATCCAGTATAAGTGAAACATTACTCAGTTTTATCATATACAGTTCAGTTTGATATTTTCCATTTTGTTCTATTTCACTTGTTTAAGGGTAGTCGCAGAACACTAAATTGACTTAACAAGAGCCCAAACTGTGAAAATCTATTTTAGGGAATTTAGTGTTCTGTCTATAATTTTAAGATAATCCATTCATGATACAGTACTTGATTAGTCTGGTAAAATCATACTAAGATGGACTATATTCTGCTATTGCTAAGTTTAGAGTACTGCTAAATGTGGGCTCCAGCCTTGCCCTTTCTGCATATAACCTTGTGCCAGCAGCAGGTGTAGCACTGTGTGAATTTTGTAATGTAGCAATGATGATTAGACTCACAGTAAGATAATTATATTTTTGGTTCTAAATGTCATATTCTTCCAAACCCAAAAGTTGTCAAACAAACAAAAGTAGGACTGATTTTAAACTGACTCAGCAATTCCTACTTAAAAGATAGCATCTCAAGAGATTTTATAAGTCAGACAAAATAATGAGCAAAAGCAGCAAGTTACAAAAGAGTACAAATTCTATAATTCTATTTATTATGAAATTCAGTAAAAGGCAAAAATAATCTATGTTGTTATAAGTCAAAATATTGGTTCCAATGTAAAGGTGGGAAAGTGGTGGTTGACTGGGAAGGTGGCCTGAGGGAGCCTTTTGAGTGGTGATTCCACTTGAGATAAATAAAAATTCATCAAATTGTACACTTCACATTTTTGTACTTTATTTTGTATATATTAGATTTCAGTAACAATGTTTTAAAAACTAAATTAAGAAAGACAAGCCATCTTTATTAGCCAAAAAAAGAAAACATATGAGTGAAAGACATGTATGCCTAACAAAATGACCCAGCCCTGTTGTTTGTGAAACTGAGATGGTTGAGGGGGTAACCATAGTGGAATTTCCCACCCTCATAGACAGTTGGCATCTATAACTACAGACTGATTGACATACTTCAGATGGGGGACTAAACTGCTTTTGAACTCAAAAAAGTAGGGAATTACACTGCAAAACAATCAGTAATTTTGTATGGTGAGCCACATGACAGTAATCGTGATTTTTATAATGTTTCTTTGAACTGTTACATTACCCATTAGTGAACGTGAAACCAAAGTTTTAATGAAATACAAGTGAATATTAAATAAGAATGCAATGTACATAGAAAAGGTAACTAATGCTTTGACAGGCTTTTGCTTCAGTTATATATGTAAGTATGGTGAAAAAGTACATTTTCTTATTGTGGACTCAAGTGAAAAAATACAATACAAAATTAATACAATTCTATTACACAACATTTTGATCTGAAGCCACGAATTGGAAATCATTGACATATCGGAATTATTGACATGTCTGGAATTATTGACTCTTGCACAATTGCCATTAGCACTTTGCTTTTGCTGTCAAAGTATCACAGGTTAACACATTCTTTTTTTTTTTAATCCCAACAACTTCCAAACTATAAAAACATTCTTATCTGCCCTAAAATTAATTGGTAAGGAGGAAATAAATTGCTAACTTGGAGCATGACAATCCATTTGCAGCTGCTAAAAAAGATTTGCTTGCTCACAAAAAATACTCTGAATTGCCACTTCATTGGCATGTTGTAAATTACCCAACTATCTTTGCCTTCCACATAAAAAATGAGCATGGCAGCTCTGAGAACTGTTTGGCAGTAAAAAACGATGCTCCCTGCCATCAACATTAGGTAGATAAATACACAACACCTGAATCAGCAGAATGAAAACTCTGCTACTTGAATACAGCTTTAGTTCTCTTTGAATAAATGCTACAAAATTAGTTCTGATAAATCAGTGCTTCATGCTGGGAGAACTGGGTACTCTCCTGAGGGTTATAGAACAACCAGATCTTTGGGTGACTGCAATGGGCAACATGCTTAGCAGCAAAAGAGACTGCTTACAAAAGAGAACAAAGTGATTTGAAACATTAAAAAAAGTGACATGCATCATTTTTTAAATGAGCGGTCAGATTTATTTGTTCAATAAATTAATCATATACTTATATACTCTGTGTTTCTGGAATTTGAAATTATGTAATTAATAATAAACAGTATTCAAACTTCCTGTCAATAAAGGGTATCACCTGAAAACAGTAGAGCTCTAAATATGTCCAAGAAATAAATGTGTAATTTTTGTTTTTAAACTTGAACTAAAAGTTATTAAAAACATGTAACACATCTATTCTCCCGCTTGAATTTAGGGTTTCTAGCAGCATTCAAAGAACTTGACTGACTGTATTATTTATTTAAAAGTATCACTGAAAACAGAAACAAAAATAAAGAAATATCTAAGTTAATAAGACTATTAGCAATTCAGAAAGGGGATCATTAGAACAAAAAATGTTGAAGACTTCCTGGAAAATAAAAAGAAAATGGGTATAACAAGGTTGTAAGATATAAGGTAAATATATAAAAATTAATTTTATTTTAAATATAACCAAATAAATTTAAAATGAACAAATTTTTAAAATGTACCATTAATTTTAATGGCAACAAAAAGTGTAAGGTAACTAGATTATTAAAATATAATTAATTAAAAAATATGTAAAATACATTGACATCAAAGCAGATATAAATACATGAGAGCCATAACATGTTCACAGAAACTTAAATTTATAAAGATGTTGATTCTTCCCAAAATAATGTATAAATTCAATAGAGCAAGATTTTTCATGGAACTCATATGGACAAGATAAGACTGAAGATTAGCCAAAGCGATATTTTAAAAGAATGGCAGGGGTCTGGGAGGCAGTTTGGAGTGATGTCAAAGGACATAACATTTCCATAAGACAGCAGAAAAAACTTCAAGAGATATATTGTACAACATGGTGACTATAGTTAATAATGATGTATTGCATTTTGAAAATTGCTAGAGTAGATTTTAAGTGTTCTCACTATAAAAAAAGATAAATTATTTGAGGTAAAGCATATGTTAATTAGCTCAATTGAGCCATTCCACAATGTATACATATTCTAAATTATGTTGTACATAATAAATATATAAAAGTATTATTTGTCAATTAAAAGTAAGTAAATAAGATAAACAAGATAGGAGAACATCTTATCAGATATTAAGACTTATGGAACCAAGAAACCACCAGAATAGAGTCCAGAAATTCCCAGGTAAATATGGTAATTTCATAAGGGATACAGCTGGCATGAAAATAATTATTTCATCCCATTAAAATATAGATTTATATTTTTAATATTATGTTCATAAAAATTGATCAAAAGTTATGTCATATTTCTAATTTTATTGATTAATTATGTACCAATAATAAGTATAATTATAATTCAATACAGGAGAAAATTTTAATTTGTAAAGCCTTATAAACATAGGAAAATAAAACAAATCATTTTAATTCATTTAAAGTTTTTTTTTTGCAGCAAAATGACAGGGTGATCATTTCCCAAGCATACAATTATGTGTTATCAGGATGAGATTCCAGGTCTATACGGAACAGAAATAAGAGCTAACAGAGAAAATGAAAGAAAAAGTTTTGAGAATAAAAGGATAATGCATGAATTTTCTTTGAAATAGATGGCTATCGGTATAAAATACTGTAGTATATAGATTCTATTGGTAACATTTAGAAGAATTGTATAATAACAGGTTTCTTTTAAAAATATATATATATTTATATATCCAATGATTTTAATCACTGGAAACAAACAAACAAAAATCAACCAATGAAAAGTTGTTATAACTATATCATAAGACTAAGTCAATTTTAAGGTAAAAAACATTCGAATGGTAGATATAGAAACAGATCTGTGTATCTAGATAGAAATTTAGTATATGATAAAGTTTGCATTTCAAATCAAAGGCAAAAATGTTTAAATTGTTTAAATTGTTTAAAATGTTTAAATTGTTAAATGTTTAAATTGTTTAAAAAAAGATGGGTTTTTAAACAAATGATGGTGGAACAAAAACAAGTGGTTTGCCTTGCATAAATAAGAATGAATTTTTTAGTTAATTAAATATACAAATTATATAGAACATAAATTAAGAAGGAGGTCCTTAAGAGGATAATACTACCAAAAATCCACATTGAAAAGGACTAAAATATTCAATAATATAAATGTCAAACTTCTATAGAACACATGATTGAAGCAAATAGACTTCACAATTCCATTTTATGTAAAGCACAAAAAGAAGCAAAACCAATCTACATTGTTAGAAGGTAAAAGAGTAGTTACCCAATTTTTTTGTAGGGGTACAGGGGTGTTACTAGCAATCAAAACGGAACCTGGGGGCAGGAGAGCATCTGGTAATGTATTTATTTAATTTTATGTTTCTTGATCTGATGCTAATAAGGATGGTTTAGACTATAAAATTTCATAGTATATACACACATTATATAGGTGCTTTTCTGTGTGTATATTATAGAGAGATAAAACAGATTAGAATGGACACATGCACACATGGTATCTGTCTGTCTAGCTAGCTAGTTACAGCACGTATCTTCCACATATCAAATTGCCAATACTGGTAAACTTAGGTATGGGAGTAGCACAAGAAGCTGGTGAGAGAGGAGAATGAAGATCAGGATGAACTTTTACTTTTGATTTTAAATTGATTTGTATTTATATATTTATGCAAGAAACATGTATTATTGCTATTTTTAAGTGAAAAAAGCCTACACATATGACATATAACATTCAAGACTTGTGACTTATACGTGTCAAAGCAATTCTATAGGGCATACTCTACCTGTGAATCTAATATATTGGAAATTTCATGTGCACCAACATTTACGTCATCCAACTGCAAGCAAAACAAGTTTCTGGCAACCTGGACAAAATCTAAAATGGAACACATTTAAGTAAGAACATAGCATTTAACCCCTTCTAAATCTTACTTTATTCTGTATGAAGTTGCTAATGTTTCAAATTTAACCTGCATAAATTATCTTAAAATAGTATTGACTGAAGTGATAGGTAAATGTAGTCCAAATAAGAAGTAAGAGACAAATTGGTCTGAACTTACTTCAGTTAACTTTGCTAAAATTAATAATTCAGTTAAGATAATAATAAAGCAAATATATAGCGTGGACCTATAGTTTTTCAACCCTTGTATTATAAGTAGAACTTTTTCTGAAACATATGATAATATTATGATTTATGGCTTTTCTAGCTGGAAGAACCTGAGGTTTGATAGCAATTATTAATAGCAGCAGCTAATGTTTATGTAACAGCTGCTGTATGCCAGGCATGGTGCTTAGCAATTTCATCCTCCCAACAGTCTTCTGAGGTAGGTCCTCTTATCCTGTCAATTTTACAGATGAAAAAAATTGAGGCTAAGACAGGTTAAATAGGAAAAAGAACAGTTCATAGGCTTCTTCTGACATGAAGAGTAACTTACTTATCTATGTATCCTCAAATATTTTCCACTTTGGCTACTGTATTTTTAATTTCCAAGAATTCTTTTAAATGTTCTCTGATCCTGTTTGACAACATTCTACTTTATTTCATGGTTGCATTACCTTCACTTATCTTTTTAAGGATGTTATGAGAGTTTGCCTGAATTTTTTGTTTTGTTTTGTTTTGTTTTTGAGATGAAGTCTCATTCTGTCACTCAGACTGGAGTGCAGTGGCACGATTGTGGCTCATTGCAACCTCCACTGCCCAGGTTCAAGCGATTCTCCTGCCTCAGCCTCCTGAGTAGCTGGGATTACAGGCATGCACCACCATGCCCAGCTGATTTTTGTATTTTTAGTAGAGACAGGGTTTCACCATATTGGCCAGGCTGGTCTTGAACTCCTGACCTCAGGTGACCCACCCACCTTGGCCTCCCAAAGTGCTGGGATTACAGGCATGAGTCACTGCTCCTGGCCTTCTACCTGAAATTCTCTTCTGTGCTTCTGTATTTCTTTTTTTCTAAGTTCCTTTATTCTGTTTGTCTGATAGTTTGGGGTTCTATACTTTTATGTTGGAGGATTTCTCCAAATCTCTGGTGACTCTTGACTATGAGTTCATATTTAAGAATTGGGCACTAAAAAAGTTGGTTGGAAATTTTGTGTGTGTAACTTGCTTTGTCAACTGGCAGTTTTCACTACAGGGAAATCTGGTGGCCAGCTGACATTTTTGTTCACTTCTTCAGAGAGAATACTATAGTCTTCTGCCTATAGTAATAAACATGGCGGCAAAGTTCCCTGAGCAATCTGGATGCATATTACGAGTGATGACTCACTATATACTCCACAAACTCCCTTGCTGCTGGCAACTATGGGTCCATGATCTTTGGTTTAATTTCTCAAAGGAATATACTTCTTTTTCCCCGGAGGTGTAGCGTGGTAGATGCCGGACTACTTAAGAAAGGGCAGAAAAGAGCATGCATAATTCTCCTTATAAAGATTTCCAACAATTCTGTTTCAATATCCTGCCTAAAAACTCAGTCTCCAGAAGTACTTAATGTCTTCAATTCCTAAATCATTTTAGGGTCAAATCAACTTGTTCCTCATTGTGATTTTCCTCTATCTTCACACACTTGGGTTTTACCTACCTCTGCTCACAAATTTGTTTACTTTCCTCACCCATTTTCCTGTCCTTAGATATTGTGGTTTTAGTTGTATATGTTTTTCTGTTTCTTATTTTCATGATTATTTTGGGATGATTTTCAAGTGGAGATGGGATGAAAAATATCTTTTTATCATCACTTAAAAACCAAAAGGTCAATTTTCTTTTTAGCAATACAGATGCTTTATAAATGATACAATGTTACATCTACTATACAAGAAAAAATTAAATACTTAATAGTGACAAGAAGATAAAACGTGTTACATTCAAACATTACTGGTGGTAGAACAAATATATTGCAAAATATCTCTGAAAAACAATTTACCAGTATATATCAAAAGTCTAAACCATTTGTGAGGATTAGGCTTAAGAAAAGAAAGAAAAACAGCTACATTCACAATGATGATAAATACAGATTTGTAATATCAGCTACTAAGAAACAATCAAAATTCACAATAGTAGAAAGCCTTAATATTATAGTACAACAACTAAGTGGTACATTATGGTATCTTTAATAAGAATAGAGTTGATCCCTGAACAACATAGGCTTGAACTACACAAGTTCACTTATACATCAAGTTTTTTCAACCAAATGCATCAAAAATACAGTATTTGCCGGTTGCAGAAGCCACATATATGGAGGGTAAACTTTTACTATATGTGGGTTCTGCAGGGCTGTCTACGAGATTGAGTATGGCTGGATTTGGGTATATGCAGGCGTCTTGGAAACAATTCCCCTCCCATAGCGAGGGATGACTGTAATTATGTAGCATCATAAATATATTTACTACATGATATTAGCTGAAAAAGGATTAGAAGGAACCTCACAGTAGTGAAATTAGAACTTCCATATTTTGTACTGTTTTTGTTATTACTAAAGCAATGTTTATGCAATAAATTAAAAATAAAAAGAATATGATAGAATGATGATAGTTTAGAGCTGTTTAGGTCCTAATAAAATTCTTTCTGCTGACCCTGACAGCTCAGTAATTCTAGCTGAGTTCTTGGGGTACTGATTAAGAAACTTGAAATGGATGTAGTTTTACTTTTCCTTCTCTCCTTCTAAAGAACAAACACTCTTAATGAAAATGTGTCACAATAACTCTTGAGTGATGATTCGGTGATAATACAACACAGTAAACCTAATATTACCTCCAAAAGACACTGTCCCTTTTGAGTCTGCTTGTACTTGCTGTCTCAGGGCTTGGTGTTGTTCCTTTGTGGGCTGAATACCAAGATAATTTAGAGCCTGCAAGATAGAGAACTCATTAAAAGCAATTTTTCAAATCTCCAAAGAATAAAATTTTTCATTACAAACTTTACAACCCAGGGAATATAATCAATACCAGAAAGAGTTGACCAGGATTAAACACCCTAGGGAAGTCGGCTGACTATGGATTAAGTGCCTATAAAATATTAGCTTCCTGATTTTACTACTACCTCACTTTTTCCCCAAGACTAGCACTTTGGCTAACACCAAATTTATGACATTATCCTATAACCAAAAATCAAACTATTTCTTAGTTTGTATGATTTGGCAGAAGTAAAATGGCAAAAGAATCCTACCACATCAGATTTACAAGTGACACTCTAAAACATGAATTATATTTGGTTAATATCTTGTCTTTGAGAGCAAAACTGAAGTTGATAGGAATTAGGTTCAACATAAAATCTTCTGATTTTTGGCTTGTTGGGGATTACACAAATATTAAACTAAAAAGCTTTCTCTGCCACTTACTTCTCTCTTTCATCAGGCTCGTCCCTTAAGGGAAAGCTCTTTCTCCTTTTGGTATCCATTAGTGATTAAAAATTCAGAGACTGTTAATTGTATTCCAATGTCCATTCTCTCCTTGCTCCTTAGTAACCGAACCAACCACAATTTCGGCTGAAAACACTGCCATGCAGCTAAAAGACATTTCCCAGCCCCTTGTACATCTCCAAGCAGCCATGCCACTAACTAGGTACTAGCCAATGAGATACAACGGGAAGTGCCATAGAGTACTACTAGGAAGTCTCCTTTCAAAAGTCAGGGTAAGCACTTCTTGTCTATTCGGATTAATAAGGGAGAAAGAAAGAGAAAGAAAAAAGATGAAAGGAAGGAAAGAAAGAGGGATTGATGGAATTTGAGCAGTTCTTTTGGTTCACGTGGTACCTCAGTAAAGATGGTGGAACAGAAAGATAATTGGAACATGGTCCCTGACACTCTGGAACCTCCACAGCAGCCCTGGATTACCTTCTTTCAGCTTCTTTTTGGTGTGAAAGAAATTTCTAAAGGAAACCACTGTTATTTTGAGTTCACCAGTTATACATAGCAAAATCTAATCTTAACTAACGCAAAGGGACTGATTGGATGTCCTATTATTGGATATGGCAAGAGCATATATAGTGTCGATCACATCAAAACTAAAATGTAGGCAAAGTTTAGTATTGGTAATTATCTCTTACATATTTCTTCCTCCTTTAGAATCTTGTTAATCATTTAGTATTTCATTCATCAAATAATTTATTTGGTGCCTACTATTTGTTAGCCACTAAACTATGCATAGCTGATAGATAAATGAAATATAGTCTCTCACCCCAAAGAGTTTATGGTCTCTAGGGTGAGAAAAACTGTAAAGAAATACGTAAAACATGTAATTTAGTAGAAGTATGTATAGGGTATATTAATATACAAAGCAACTGGTTAATTTGTAAGTGCACAATTTGGGAACAATGAAGAATGGAGGAATAATCTCAGGAAAGATTCTTTCAAAAATGATTCCTGAGCTTAGTGTAGCATCATCTGCTTGTCTTGCAGTCAAGTATTTGCATTGTATAACATGGCATAATGATTTTTACCTTCTGTATGTTTTTCTCTTCAGTTATAAAAATGTTTCAAATATAAACACAAAAAAGAATAATACAAAGAACACCCATATACTCACTATCATCAATTAGTCGTTAATATGTACTTAAAATTTATGTATATATTTTCAATAAATAAAACTATATATTTGGTTAAAAGTTTTTATAATTGTTCCTCAGCAGGAAGTACTATCCTAAGTATTCTTCCTAGTCCTAATTTAATGACGTTTACTATGTAAGCAAGTATCCCCCAATAATATTTACTATTATTTTGTGCATTTAAGGTTTCACATCAAGAGTATAATCTAAAAGAGTAACTCTACAAATTATTTTTATTTTTATCTCAATTTTGTGATTTCATAATTGCTCAATATTGTCTGCAAAACTAGTTCACTTATTTTAAACTGTGAATAGTAATCCATTGTATAAATTTATTGTAATTTATTATCCATTCCCTGATTAACAGGCTTTTATAACTACTCCAATTTGCTTTTTTAAAAATTACAGATTATACATGCCTCTTTGTATAAATATATGAAAATTTCTCTACATTATATCCCTAGAAAAGGAAGTGCTAAGCCACAGGGGACATATGGTCAATTTTATTAGATATTGTGGAATTGTTCTCCAAATTGGCTTCATCAATTCACACCAGTAGTGAATAAGCATTCCTATTTTTCTACATTCTTAACAGCACCTGCTGTTTCCACTCTTTTATTTTGTCAGTGTTGTATATGAAATAGTATGTTGTTTGTTAATTTGAATTCTCCTAGTTACAAATGCAATTAAACATCATTTACATGTTTATTAGCAATGTTTTTGACTCATAAATTATTTAAAATATGTTTTAAATTTTCATACATGAGGTTTTAAGAAGTATCTTTACTGATTTTGAATTTGGTCTCTGTTTTCCAGCTGTGACACACAAAAATGTCTCCAGACATTGCCAAGTGTCCCAAGAAGAAACACTGCAGCTCTGCCCTTGAGAACCACTGCTCCAAAGACAATTGCTGTATTAACAATTGTATCTATTTTTTCAGGGTTTTTTCTATGAATATAGTACCTATAAATTTATATAAATTGTGAATTTTTTGCAAAAATTGTCACACTATATATGGTGTTAATAATTATTAATATATCATGTCTTTCTATTCTGTACATTTTACAAACATTGCATGCTTTTTAAAATTGTCATAATTGTACACTGTTGAAATGAACTTTTTTTAAAGCGTTCTTCTGACAATCATTTAGAGTGCACACAATTTTTCACTATGGAACACAGTGTTACAAAGTGCTAGTGCTTTTTGCTTTATGCCAATGACTTCAGCAGCTGTAGGAATTATCTGAATTTTTAAAAAAATTATAAAATATTAATACAGCAGTTATAGAAAATACTATAATAAAGTAATAGATATCTACTATCTTGCTTCATTAAAGCTTAGCACTCAACTATATTTACTTCAGTTTTTGAATGTAACCAAAACATTATAAAAACCCCTTTTGAACTTATTCCCAGAGGTAAGACTTATCATATATTTGATTTAATATTCCCATGAATTTTTTATTATATAATATTTGGTATATACTAAAAGCATATATGTAAAAAAAACATGAGTTTTAAGGTAGGACAGTAAAACACCTATGAATCCACTTAAGCAGCATAAAACTGTGAACACTGTTGGATTCATACCACAATATGGATATGGTATTTCACCAGAGGTAACCATACTAATGAATTCTGAACTATTGATTTCTTCTTTATCATTCTTGATCTGTTTATTTTAAAATGGTTTTTCACATACATATGTATTCCTAACATGTTATTTTGTTTTACCGGTTTTTTAGCTTCATAAAAATGCTGCAGATGGTTTTCTAAAGCTTGCTTTTTTCACTCTACAGTAAGGTTTACTACATATTTCAAATCAGAAAGTGTGAGTTCAACTTTTTTCTTTATTAATTTTTAATTTCAATAGCTTTTGCGATATAGGTAGTTTTTGATTACATAGATGAATTGTATTAATGGTGAAGTCTGAGACTTTAGTTTACCTATTTACCCAAGTAGTGTTCACTGTACTCAATATGTAGTTTTTTATCCCTGCCCCACACACCATCCCCCTTCTGAGTCTCCAAAGTCTATGATTTCACTTCCTTTATGCTTGCCTTATGATACCCGGGGGACGTACTCTGGTTTCTTGGGTGATAGGAAGGGCCATAGGGTTCCCACAAGTTTCTGTCCTTCGTGTTAAGCTACCAGAGTGGGTGGAGGGGCAAAGCCAGGTGGGAGCTGGGTCAGGCAAGTCCATGTTCTGACTCCACCTGAAGGACAAGCAGTGGCCCTTGTGGGGTTTAGCGAGTAGTTCTCTGGCCACCGGCAGTAATGTTCTAGGTTAAGAGCATAGCTGCCTCTGCTGTGCAGAAGAGTTCACACAGGGAGTAGGGAGTAGCAGATGGCAGTAAGCTTCACCTAGCTCCCATGCACTTGGCAATGCAGGTCTCTCACTTGCAGTGTTGGCTAGAAGCAGCTAGCTAAATTCCAGCTAGCTAAACTCACAACTGCCCCAGGTCATAAGCCTTTCACATAGACAGGAACCCTAGGCTTTCAGGCCACACCCTTTCCAGTCTACCTGCAAAGCCAGGGTGCCCAAGCTCCTCTGCCTGAGGCCGCAGCATACTTCCCACTTGCCCCCTGGTTCTGGACAAGGCAGTTCATCCCCATTTGAGATTAAATCATGAATTTCAGTTGGGAGTTTCTCTCAACTTGCAACTGCTGCCTGACTTAGTTGGCTGACTTCCACAAAGTCCCCTGTAATGTAGAATCAGGAATGGCTTCCTTCGGTCCATGTTGGAGGCTGCAAATGCACGCTATGCTCTTCCCACTGCCCCCTATATTAGTTCCAGTGCTGGGTAGGGTTAATGCCTTCTCCTGTGAGCTACACTGCCAGGTTCTCCAGTGGGGGTGTATATCTCTACCCATCTTACACTCTTGGGACTTAGTTTTTTGGCTGGCTCATGGTGTAGGCTGCAGCCTCCTGCTTCTTTCAAAGGGTTTTGGGGTTTTATTCCATTTTCCTTTAAGCTCCTACATTGCTTCTTGGGAAAAGGTTCACAGTGTGAATATCGATACACTATTTTGTCTTTCCAAGGAGGACAGACATGCTAATACCACTCTAATCTACCATCTTGGGAAAAAAACAAAAACAAAAAGCTTCTTTTTCATGACTGTTTCAGCTACTTTGGGTCTTTCGCATTTCCATACAAATGGATCCGTCTTTTTTTGCATTTCTTACAAATGGATAGGGTCACTTTATCCATTTCTGAAAAATAGCCAGCTGATATTTTGATAAAGATTGCATTAAATCTGTATATCAACGTGGGGAGTATTGCAATCTTAACAATTAAGCTCAT